ATTACCATCCGAGTTGCCGTCGGGGAAGTGGCTCAAATAGCCTCGGCTATCACTTCCTTTTGACGGCCGTGATGGTCAAGCGGATTAAGGCGCCCTGTAGTTACCAGTTGTGTTGCTTCTGGGAGTATGGGTTCGAGTCACTTCTGGGGTGTGAGTTTTCATTCGCATATAGTCCTGGGGACCATTCAGGCTTGTTCGCATTTGTGTTCCTCACGTGTGCCCCAAAGAATGAGGTGATTTGGTGAAATGCTATGCCCAAGATTACCATCCGAGTTGCCGTCGGGGAAGTGGCTCAAATAGCCTCGGCTATCACTTCCTTTTGACGGCCGTGATGGTCAAGCGGATTAAGGCGCCCTGTAGTTACCAGTTGTGTTGCTTCTGGGAGTATGGGTTCGAGTCACTTCTGGGGTGTGAGTTTTCATTCGCATATAGTCCTGGGGACCATTCAGGCTTGTTCGCATTTGTGTTCCTCACGTGTGCCCCAAAGAATGAGGTGATTTGGTGAAATGCTATGCCCAAGATTACCATCCGAGTTGCCGTCGGGGAAGTGGCTCAAATAGCCTCGGCTATCACTTCCTTTTGACGGCCGTGATGGTCAAGCGGATTAAGGCGCCCTGTAGTTACCAGTTGTGTTGCTTCTGGGAGTATGGGTTCGAGTCACTTCTGGGGTGTGAGTTTTCATTCGCATATAGTCCTGGGGACCATTCAGGCTTGTTCGCATATATATATATATATATAATATATATATATATATATATATATATATATATATATATATATATATATATATATATATATATATATATATTTGCTATTTTCTGGTTTAGGGCTTCTATCCCTCTAACTATTTTCTTAGCATCAGGGCTTAGCTGAAATAGGAGTTCTCCAAAACTCATTTTCGTACTTTTAAGGTGAAGAAAATTAGTGAATTACTATAGAATGTATTACACTTATTTATACAATTATTTCAGCTAAGCCCTGATGCTAAGAAAATAGTTAGAGGGATAGAAGCCCTAAACCAGAAAATAGCAAATACAGAATATGCGGTCATATTCAATGAAACATGTTTGAAAGAAAACCTGCTGCCAGTATACACCAGTATACAGTATATATATATATATATATATATATATATATATATATATATATATATATATATATATATATATATATATATTGCAGAATAATCACAAAAACACGTGATTCGGCTATGTGTAAGTATCTACTATGAAAATGAAACTAAAGTTACAAACGTTTTCGTGTTTCAAAATAAAAATAACCTTTTTAGGTTATTAATATGGAATAGGCGATGAACAAGAAATACTTGTATCATTCTCATAAAAATAAAATTTTCGAATATACATCGTCTCTTACCCTTCTCTCTCTCTCTCTCTCTCTCTCTCTCTCTCTCTCTCTCTCTCTCTCTCTCTCATTTCCCTCTCATTACACACACATTACAACTATGAAACATAACATGCGAACAAAATAATAACTCAAGTCGCTTGCGATTATTATAAAATTATTCAGTGACTATATAAATTATTCATCATGAGAATTTGTAATCAATTAAAATAATTATATTACATTGATTTTCTTCAAAGTTAGCATCAAATTTTGCAAACGTTATGACGCCATTTTTATCATGAGACTGTTCAATGAATATTTTAGGTGACTGGTCGTTCTGCTATGCGGTCGATGAAGTGTCCGAATGCGTTGCTGCGACCTAGACTTAAGTCCAATAAACCTATCATTTCTCTACTATTATTTCTGTCTCTTGCATACATTACCTGACATACTGTATTTAGTACACTAAGCAATTATTACTAGTGAGATCTACATGGGTCTTGTAAAAGCTTTACACTATACAATAGAAGTCAGGACAGTGATACAGAATACACCCTGGCCAAAACCTCTGCACTTAGGCTTCAAAAACTCCCACTACTGAACATGTAATATTTATAATGACCAGAGACAATTTCAACTTTTCAGCCTCGGGTCTTTCATTCATGTTAAATAATGCGAGAATTACCATTGTTGATGCGAGTGGAATTACCGCATGCCAAATTTAATACGCATTTCTTTGACAAATTTTTGGATCGTGTCGACGGAGGCGCCGATCGTCTATTTTGAGCTCCCCAACAACAAACATAAAATTAACCTTATGGTAATAGCACAAGTCATTCCAGACAGACGCGAATCATGCCGCCAAATTCGGACATGAAGAAATAAAATACAAAGATAAGGTAGTTATCAGGAGAAAGCACTAAGCCAGTATGATTATACAGCACATGGGTGGAATATTGGGACATGCTTTCATAACTGACTGTATTTCCCATTTCTAAGCTTTTTCCCTTCACCTGTGGCTCTCCATTCTCTTTACTCCCCCCCCCCCCTCCCTAAAAAAAAAGTATATTGGATGTTATATCGACAGATATCTAACAAGTGGTTACCAATTTACAAACATGATTCATACATCATTTATAAATATGATTTCATGGGCACGGAAAGCAGCAAAGGTGTAGTGATGGTTCGTGCCGGTGTGGAGTGTAGTGTGATGATTCGTGCCGGTGTGGAGGGTAGTGTGATGATTCGTGCCGGTGTGGAGGGTAGTGTGATGATTCGTGCCGGTGTGGAGGGTAGTGTGATGGTTCGTGCCGGTGTGGAGGGTAGTGTGATGGTTCGTGCCGGTGTGGAGGGTAGTGTGATGGTTCGTGCGTGTGTGGAGGGTAGTGTGATGATTCGTGCCGGTGTGGAGGGTAGTGTGATGGTTCAATCCGTCGGTAGTATCCGTCGCAGGTAGTTATGCACTCTACGGTCTTGGGTACAATGAGTAGCAGTACTCGTACCAGGTAGCTGGGGCACTGTATGGGCTACCTGCAGGAGATAGTGGTGCACTGTATGACCTTGGGTAGCAGTACCAGTAGCAGGAATTATGAGTTGGAGGAGGGGGGAAGAGCCAGTCAAGAAGTGTAGGCAGCTCCAGGGAGCGTTTGCGTGCTAGGCTGCGCAGCGCTAGTCTTAGGTAACACGCAAGCTGCACTACCACCAGTCCCACTAAGTTATCCCATGTTTTTACTTGTAATCTTAGACTTGGAGAAAAAATGGTTCTCTGATTTGGTGCTTTCTCAAAGGTCACTGACCTTTACACAAAAATAAAGCATTCATCTTTCTAAAAGAGCCAAGGGTGTGCTTTGTTTCACAAATTTTACAAATAATTTGCACAATTATTTATATATTACGTTGTACACTTAATCATTCTTAAATACAACGTTGCATTATACTAACGTTTCAGACATTTTAATAGCCACGTGTGATTACCTCACGGACTCATAAACTGTAATCATTTCTGCATTGCTGTAATTAACTTTAAAGTCAACGTGTAAACACGAACTTTAAAAACAAGATTTGAATATCAGTACACTATGTCTGCTCAATGTAAAATAACAGAAACTGACTTTCTAGAAAGGTTTATGCTGAGACTGAGTTGGTACTCGCTCTGTTATTCAAGCGTTGCAACAAACTGTTGCAACGCTTGAATAATGCAATGCTTGGATTGCTAATGATCTCATAATCCGGTTGAGTAATGGCGGCAGAGTGCAAGGAACCGCGAAATTAAAACTAATCAAGAAAATACTGTCCATCTTCTAGCTCCTCTGGAATTTTTAGCACTTATAATTTACTTTAGGACACTAAAAGGAAGGCATTTCCACTTTGGATCGCCACAAAGAGGTCGGAGAGAGAAAACTGACAGCTCTGGGTTTTCTGGTAATATCAATGAGCCTGGAACCCAATTCCTCGAGAAAGCTCGTGACAATCTTGCTCTAGGGGGTAAGCGTCTCAAATGTTATCCGATATGAAAGCAAATTTGTACAGATTTGTACAGCTCCAGTTGCCTAGCGATAATTGGATGATTCTCTGCTTCCTTATGGTTGGCCGCACCACATACATAACCAACACACCTAAAAGTATATGGGTGTCAGCCAGGGTAGATACACACGTGTATCTACTCATCCATACCGAATGTTTCCCGTTTTTCCAGAAGTATATTGTGACACCATCTGCGCAAAGCACAGATTGATTGATAAAGATTAAGCCACCCAAAAGGTGGCACGGACATGAATAGCCCGTAAGTGGTGGCCCTTTTGAGCCATTACCAATATCAATAGATGATACTGGAGATCTGTGTAGGTGCGACTGCACCCTGCGTGACGGGAGATGTCGCCCGTGGACCAAAGAAAGCACAGAATATCCTCTTGATGATAACTTCATTGTGTCTTGCATGTCACCCTCTGGCAGTTCCGCAGTCCAAACCATGTAAGCCTATTATGACGGCTTCCACCCTGTTGCAAATACTTGTACCCAGTATGAATTGGGGTACCAAGATGGAGGGCCACTGTAATACGCAGAGTTTCTGGATGTAGACATATGCCCGGTGCAGACAAAGGTACTGCACAAAAAAATCTTACATGGGGACACCAACAGCTCTAAAGCGAGTTATCTCCTGTTGTGATGGAACAGCATAGAGCAAAAGCCTTAGCTATTTTCTCCGCCACTTGGCTTTCAGCTCGACTGTTATATATATGGCGTTTGGAGCTAGCCTCACGAAACTCTGCAGGGTGAATAGTCTGGGTTAAGGGCAGTAAGTAATGTGAATGGGGGTCGAATCCCCATGTTTCCCCTCCTATTTGCTTTAATTTGCAAATTACGTTAATTTCCAATTTCTCAATATAAACAAAATAATCCTCACTACAAATGATTTAACCAATTAAATGTTAGTCAAGATGCAAGGTGAAGGAAGTACTGACAAAATATAAAGATAGGGGGAGCTGGGAAAGGGGGGAGAAAGACAGGCGCAGCCGGGAACCGCTCCTAGTGAGTGTGGCCGTAACTGGTTGACGGTTCCAAACATTGGTCATGCCCAAATTCCTATACTTTCCCATCCCTTTACTCTCGGTAGGTGTGGACAGACGCGCGTGGCGTCTCACAACTGGGGTACTCACCCAGCCAGGGTTGCAGAGTTTGGTTTCCTCCGGGGCATCAGCGTGGGAGCTCCTATTCAGCACTACCAGCGTCACTGTCAAAAAAAAAAGTAGGAAATGTATATGTTTATCTCTCAGAATGTTCGGTAATATGTTTATTGGTTTGTGATATGTATCTATGTATGTATTAACACGATGTACTGAACGGGGTGAGAATAGCTTGAGCTACCTCATCCCTCTGTGTGTATTTTACCTCAATAAACTTATTTCAATTTCAATTCAACTGTCAAAAGTAAATGTTGGTTTGGGATAAGAATTAAATAAGTGAAAGTACGTTATAAACAGTTTGTAACTACTACATTAATAACTTTTAAACTAAATAAGTTATAATTGTACAACTATTTATGGATAACGTTTTTAATGTGAAAAATCCGTGAATTTCTTCCACGTCTAACACGATATAACAACTGAATAATGAATACTCCTACAATCTTAAAATGTTATATCTGTCACTGGGTCCTCCAATCCTAGCTCTTATCCTGTCCTCATATCCCGTCCAAGTGTTATATAGTCATGCTGGTTTAGCGCTTTCTCCTGATAATTACCTTACTTTATATATATTTCAACTTTAAATTGTGCTTAGTGTTTATTTTCAGCTTATAAAGTACTAAACGTTTCCATCACTGGCAGATACAGCGGTCGATATTCTAATACAAGGATATTCTCAGTACCTTTCTGTTAATAATGTTCGTTAATAATAGTTATCTGTTTACTAATGTTCCTCCATACACTTCATAAACATACAAAGATTATATAAAGCATCACTGCACTTTACATGAACCTGTTTTACGGTGCGAGGCGTACAGGACTTTTTGTATACAGCAACAGCGACCAATTGTGTATTTCATTCTTGTCACCAAAAATCTCATCCACTTTTTCTTCGTCCCTCATCCCATACCGTTCTTCACTCTCACGTTCACCAAAAATTACCCAAACGTGACTATCGAGTCGAGCCAGGCTCCTGGTCAGGACCTTAAACATAGCCAGGCCCCTGGTCAAGACTGAACCTAGCCAAAAAAAAAATCACTGTCTTAAAGGACAGCTGAAATGCCCGAATGGAGACAAAACCCTAAATATTTAATCTAGGACTAGAGGGGTTAAGGCCACTGATAAATCTTTAAGCACAAATTTGCCTACGTCTTGCATGAGCATACGAGCTCTTCATGAGGGTGAGGGAAGAAGTGGCTAGACTGATACTTTAAATACCGTTTCCTAACAAGAATTTAAAAGTAGTGATCATTTAATTTTGACTGAAAAAAATCATCCCCTATTTTTACGCCTAAATTGTGGCTTGCTAAGCTTGAAGCTGTTACTTATGTATGCGTTTCATTTGACCTTTTAAGGGAGTGGTCTGGATTAATTGCAGACGATGCAAAATTGCTAGGGAGTATTACAGCCTTAGATCACTCACTTATATTGCCATTCAAAATGACCTACGCAAAATAAACGTGTGCAGTCACACTTGGCAGACGGAATTCAACGTAAACAAATGTCACATAATTGAATGCATAATAGGGGAAAACAGGCTACACAACCTACAAGTTATATGAAAAGATATTTAGAACCTCTGATAAGGAGACCTAGGAGTGGTTCTGGATAATAAGCAGTCATTAGAGGACCATCAAAAAGCAGTGAGAGGAGCCTATGATACGCTAGCAAATTTCAGAACTGCGTTGATATATAAGAACGGACAAATATTAAACTGTTCACTTAATTTGCGAAATTGGAATATGCAGCAATATTGTAGTGCTCATATCTCAATAGGCAAAACAAATTAGAAAGGGTGCAATGATATGCTACTAAATTAATCCCGGAACTTTTAAGAACATGACCAACGTGGAGAGGCTGGAGGTGCCAAATATGCCAAGGCTAGAACAAATTTCATTACGTACAAAATAATAACAGTAATTGACAAACTAGATAGAGGAATTTTTGAAACCTGCAACTTCTAAAATAATAGAGCATAGATTGGTTCCTTGCACTAAGAAAACAAAAGTGCTGAAAAATATAAGTTCTCTCTTTGCAAATAAAATAATTACCCAAGTGTGGTGTACGAGTGAACGCTCGTGGTGTCCCGTCTTCCCAGTACTCTTTGTCATATAACACTTTGAAACTACTGACGGTTACTCCGCCACCTTGTCACCTAACTTATTCCAACCATTTACCACTCTGTTTGCGAAAGAAAGAAAGTGGTAGACAGTACGTTAGAAAGTGGTAGATGCCAAAACCTTCAGTAGTTTTAAAGTCATATGACAAAGTGCATTGGAAAGACGGTACACTACGAGCGTAGCCCCAATCCTGTAAGTATACTTAGGGAATTACACACATTATAAAAAAAATTAAAACTAAATGGTGAAAAAAACTGGTGAGAAATTATATATCACATCACAGAGGAGACAGTATGGCATTCGAATGGGAAAAGTCTGCGTAACAAATATACTTAGTTTCTATGATGGAGCCAAAGATTTTACAGGAAAGAGATGGTTGGGTTGACTGCATTTATTTGGACCTAAAAAAAAAGCTTTAGACAGTCCCACATAAGAGATTGCTCTGAAAACTGGAGCATACAGGAGAGGTGACAGGAAGACTTCTGACTTGGATAAAAATATTTCTAACAAAAAGATGAGGGCGGGGGTAATCAGAGGCAATGTAGCAGACTGGAGAAGTGTTACAAGTGGAGTACCACAGGGTTCAGTTCTAGCAAGAGTAAGGTTCATCGTCTATTTGGCCTTTCTACCAAAAGGAATACCGAATTATATGAACATGTTTCCTGATGCTCAGCTACTAGGAAGTATAAGAGACCTGGACGATTGACATGACGACTTGGACAAAATAAATGTATGATGCAACATTTTGCGATGGAATTGAACATGAATAAATAATACGTTATAGAATCTGCAAATAGGGAAAAATAAGCTACACACAACCTGCAAATTATGTGAAAAGGCGTTAAAGAACTCTGACAACGAAAGATCTCGGGATAGTTATGGATAGCAAACCGTTACCAGAGGACGACATAAAGGACATTGTGCATGAAGCCTATGCTACGCGCTACAACTACAAAAGTTTTTTTTTAAATACATGGACGGTGAAATATTTAAGAAATTATTCACGACTTTTGCGACCAAAATTGGCATATGAAGCGTTTGCATGGTGCCCATATCTCAAGAAGCACATAAGTAAACTAGAAAAGGTGCAAAGGCGTGCAACTAAATTGTTCCCGGAAATGAAAACAAAGCTACGAGGAGAGGCTAGCGGCGTTTAATATGCCAAGACTAGAAGATAGAAGGAAAAGGGGGTATGATCACTACACACAAAACAGTAACATGAATCAACAGAATTGACAAAGAGCAATTCTTGAAACCTGCAACTTCAAGAACATAGTCAAGCTAAGGAATTTAAGGTAATAGATTCAAGATATGGACACCCGTGTAAATGTTCAGACCTCTGAGGCGCAGTGGTAATGCACTCGCCCGGCGCTTAAGAACTTAAGAATAAAGGTAACTGCAGAGGGCCTATTGGCCCATACGAGGCAGCTCCTATTTATAACAACCCAGTCCCATTCAAGTACATGTCCAACCCACGTTTGAAACAATCAAGGATAGTCTTGGGCATAGGGGGCGGGCCGATCCCTGAGCAAGACGTGAACCCAGCAATGGGCAATGTAAAATGGGACCTCGATGTGAATTCAAAATATAACTTTTTTAAAAATATTGTAAGCAAAACACGGGAACACAGCATACCATACAAATTGAACAGTTCGAACACTAATGACCCGAAATGGATAACAAAGGATATGAAGAACCTTATAGGTAGAAAGAGCCCGGTATAAAAGGATTAAGAATGGGAAAGTCAGCCTAGAACAAGAATTCGTACAATGGTTAGAAATGCCAAAAAAGAGAAAAGGAGGGTGAAAAGAAACATAAGAACATAAAAGCTTTGCGAACGATTGGCCTGGGTTCGTATCCTGACCGGGGAGGAGTGACTGGGCGCCAATCATTAACTGTAGCCTCTGTTCAATTAGCAGTGGATGAGCACTTGGTTGTTAAACGATTTGGGGAAAAATTAGGACCTACCCGAAACGCTATGCGTGCTAGTGGCTTTACAAGAATGTAAAAACTTTTATATACAGTATATATAAAAAAGAAAGGTTATGAAAAAATATTAGAAAGTTCTTTTGCAGAATGATGGACGGTTGGAACAATTACGTGAGAAGATGGTAGAGGCCAAAACCGTTAGTAGTTTCCAAGCATTATATGACAGTACTGGGAAGATAGGACACCACGAGCGTAGCTCTCATCCTGTAACTATCTTATCTTGAGATGATTTCGGGGCTTTTAGTGTCCCCGCGGCCCGGTCCTCGACCAGGCCTCCACCCCCAGGAAGCAGACCGTGACAGCTGACTAACACCCAGGTACCTATTTTACTGCTAGGTAACAGGGGCATAGGGTGAAAGGAACTCTGCCCATTGTTTCTCGCCAGCGCCCGGGATCGAACCCGGGACCACAGGATCACAAGTCCAGTGTGCTGTCCGCTCGGCCGACCGGCTCCCCGGTAACTACACTTAGGTAATTACACACACACTGTGGCTGACTGAACAGTGCTCAGAGGTCGTAGTCCAAAGCACCTGGGTTTGTTCCCCGCCGAGGAAGAACAGATGCTCTGTTCACCAAGCAATAAATAGGTACCTGGGAGTTAGACAGCTGCTACGAGCTACTTCCTGGGGATGTGTGTGCGGGTGTTAGAGAGATATACATGTAGTGAACATAGAGGAAACATAGATCGGTTAGAAAGACAGGGTCCAAGAGCTAATAGCTCGATTCAGCATGTATAAATAATATAATATACACACACGCCGTTAAATAACCTAACGGTTAACAGGCCTAAATACCACCATAACAAAGTGTGAAATATAATTCATATTTTATATAATGATAACTGACAAAAATATATATTTTAAAAGTACTTAAAACAAAAGATACTTAGACCCTGAAGCACGCACATATACCTCAGAAGGAAATCAGATAAAATAAATATGCATAAACTGGTAGGTAAAAAAATTCACCGTTAAACTTATTTTCAAATTTGTTATAAATAACTCGTGAATGGTTATAACTTTATAATCCTTTATTTATATCATATAAATAGATAGCCAACGTAAAAATTATGATTATGAAATTGATGAATAACCACGTTTACAACAAACGCTGTTCTATAACCTTTGATCAACATTGTTATTCACAAACCCAATTTCGACAATAATGTCCTTTTAATAAACTAATTAATGAAATATGCAGTAGCCTACTCGTAGCTAATTTTTAATTTCAAATAGTTTTCGTTCTGTGATCTATGGTATATATACTCATACTCCGCTATAACGATACAAAGTATACTGTTATCTTACCGAATACAATGAAAGGTTTAGCGGTAACTCCTCCACTGGATAACTCCATAGTGTTAACTAAGTGGATAACTCCACAGTGTATCACTATTAGAATGAGAGGTGCGCGAGAGGTGACACGCACAGCGAGGCCGCCGGGCGCTGACTGACCGCCGCCGCCGCCCCCGGGGATGCCTTTCTCCTCCGTTTTCTTTAACATTCACGAATTTTAACCCGTTTTCTTTTCCCAAGAAAGATTCCCACTCTTGGTTCAAAGATTCTTTAAGGAAATGTACATGTTTATTTCTCAGAATGTTTGGCAATATGTTTATTGTTTGTGATGTGTGTCTATATATATATATATATATATATATATATATATATATATATATATATATATATATATATATATATATATATATATATGTCGTACCTAGTAGCCAGAACGCACTTCTCAGCCTACTATGCAAGGCCCAATTTGCCTAATAAGCCAAGTTTATTGTTTGTGATGTGTGTCATTCAGGCTTGTTTGCATATATATATATATATATATATATATATATATATATATATATATATATATATATATATATATATATATATATATATATATATATATATATATATCAGCCTACTATGCAAGGCCCAATTTGCCTAATATATATATCGATATAACCTACCTAACCTAACCTAACCTAACTTTTTTGGCTACCTATATATATAGGTTAGGTTATAGGTAGGGTTGGTTAGGTTCGGTCATATATCTACGTCAATTTTAACTCCAATTGACCTACATAATGAAATGGGTAGCTTTATCATTTCATAAGCAAAAAATTAGAGAAAATATATTAATTCAGGAAAACTTGGCTTATTAGGCAAATCGGGCCTTGCATAGTAGGCAGAGAAGTGCGTTCTGGCTACTAGGTACGACATATATATATATATATATATATATATATATATATATATATATATATAATATATATATATATATATATATATATAACTGAAAACTCACACCCACATAGTAGGCAGAGAAGGCAGTTGTATATAGTCCTGGGGACCATTCAGGCTTGTTTGTATATATATATATATATATATGAACACGTTGTACTGAGGGTGAGAATAACTTGAGCTACCTCATCCCTTTGTGTGTATTTTACCTCAATAAACTTATTTCAATTTCAGTTTCAATTTCAAGATTCTTTAATGACAGTAAATGCTTGTTTGATGTTACAGATTTGTAATATCATGAAGAAATGAAATCATAGGTATTTTCCGTGACTGGATTTTCATAGAGGGTAATGTATATGTGCAGCAGCCAGACCAAAGATGCAAATACTTTCAAAAACATTCTTCACACGAAAGTATTTTTTATTAGCAAGCTTAGGTATACACAGCAATGTGCTGCTACCCTATTCTATATGAAAGATTACACAGTGTAGATCAAAAACTAGCTCTAAGTTCATCTAATACTCCCATCTCACAGGATGGTTAGTTATACATGGAATCAGGGGAGATAACACCTAGTGCCTCGATACAAAAACAAATCAACTCTGACTAAAAATTAGGTGAGAACATGAAATGTTCATGTAAAATCTGGGTAAAGCACAAGAATATCTTCCAATATTCTTGAGTATATGAAGTGATCACAGAGCTCAAAGTACCTCACACCATTTGGTCTGAAGTCACTTATAACAGGGCAATCACAGATATAGTGTTGGAGAGTATGTAAGTTAACTGTCAGTAATCTTTAACACTGATATTTACAGTCCAAAAATGCGCCTATATATAATGATGTCTTAATATTTTTTTATTATAAACCTGGTAAGATGAGTAGATACATATTAATTATATATATGTATATAATATATATATTATTATGGATTCAATTTGGTATAATTCCCAGTATATCACTATTAGAAACCATATTTTTCTTGTTTAACAAGTTTCCCAAATGATTCTCTGGCAGATATTTTCATGACTAATGGATATAAAAAAAATTATATATAGGTAAGAATAGGCTGTTAATAAATTGTCGCTCTCATTGATTACAAGAAAATTACACAACTTAATGAAATTCAAGTGAGATAACTTGAATATTTAAAAAAAAAATAGAACAGAAATTTCTTGCAGAGGCCTCTCTTAAATTCAGTAAATTTCATCATCAGCAATTAGATCGCAAATAGCAATTGCCTCCTCCATCGAAAATTTAAGATCTCACGAGCACTGTGTCTACACCGACGGCTCAGTCCAATCTTCTACTGGACGGACTGCAGCAGCATGTAGGTTTTATAGAAATAATATTTGCACAAAGACTGTCAGTGTCAGGTTAAACAACTGGCTGACCTCCACACAAGCAGAACTAGCAGCATTACAACTAGCTACCAGTACATAAAAAAACATTGGAGGAGGAATAATATTTTGTGATTCAAAGTCTGCTCTTCAAGCAATTGAAAACTTCTCCTGGAAGATCGTCAGCAAGAACCTCATACTCCCAATTATAAATGACCTAATTGCTGCACTGAGTAAAGGGTCTCGAATCTCCTTTGTATGGATACCTTCACACATAAATATAACCCATCACAATGAGACAGACATTGCAGCCAAATTAGCGTGTAACAAGGATGGAGTTGAATTAGATCTAGGTATCCCCATCTCTGTTGTCAAAACTGTATTGGTCCAAACACTCAGGCCTGATAGGAATGAAATTACTGACTCCCAACGACCTGAAAGTACTAGTATAAAAAGCTATTATTTGTTCAGATCTGAAACTTATCTATGGGCAGCACAAAACGTCCACTAGACTGTGCGACACAGTGGTTGCAAGGATCAGGTTGGGTTACCGTTACCTGTGGCAAGTGGCTGCAGGTGACGGATCTCCCAATCCTGAGCACTCCAGGTGCAAACTCTGTGAGCAGGAACTGCGGCATGATCTCCCACACTACATCACTGAATGCCCAGTTATTAGACCTTTCAGACCAGTTGGCATGAGGTACCTGGAGCTTTGCAACTACTTTATTCACTCTCGTATTCTTGAAGATATCCTCACAGTGTACCCAAAATTTATCAATGCAGGCTACTAAACATATGGCCCCTGTATGACTAACCATCCTGCGAGATGGGGACTTTTAGTATCACTGCTACCTTATTCACTCTTGTGTCCATGATATCCTCATAACGAACCCAGTCTGTCAGTGAAGCTAATTATCACATGCCTCTGTATGACTAACCATCCTGTGTGATGGGGATTTTTTAGCATCACGTAGCTAGCTTTTTGACACAATGTAATCCCCTTCATATAGTCTAGGGTAGCTGCACTAATGCAGATATACCTAATGTATTAATATAAAAAAAGAGAAGCTGAAAGAAAATCAACCAGTATGAAATCAATAAAAGATTAAGGCTAAAAAATCGTTGATTAAAACAAGCTGTGGAGAGTGAATGAAAAAATAGCTCACCTGCATATATATGCAACAGGTGTGTGGATGTGACCACATGTAGAAGATCTCCTTCACTAGAAGAAAGGCCACTCTACACTTCTCATTAGGACTATATCTGCTTCCACAAAATGGTTGAGGCCGTCCAATACATTATTTTTTTTTATTTGTTACAACAGCACAGTTGTTGTAACAAAAATATTCATTGTACAATATGTATTTAGTGTATATCATGAATTTCGAGTGTTTTCTGACAAATTAATTTCATACAAATGAATTATGATGATGTTCAAGGTATGAACAGAGTGACACACATTTGATGTGGTAATGCAGGTACTTTTGTACCTTTTTTATTTTTTGTTTTATTCTATACTTATTCTTTATGTAAAAATTTGACAGATTTAGTAATTAATCTAATTTGCTTTATAATATAGAATATAAAATTTTAATGAGAATTGCTGAAGGTCCTATTTTTAGTTTAAGAAATTTAGTTAATTATTAATAATCTTAAAAGTGTTGTAATTTTGTTTACAGTTGTGTGTTTTGTTTTCACATTCAATGTAATTAAAGATTATATAAATTTATCAACCCATGTGCCGTGCAACTAGCTTTTCTACTATAACACCACTGCATAAAAAATATTTACTATTAGAAATATGTATCCTGTGGAAGATGTTCACAGCAGTACCAAAACATATGGCATTTAGTGAAACCAAACTTTCATGATAACCTAGTCTGGGTCATAGGTCCAACTACGTCACTAACGTCATTAATACCATTTGAGATCCACCGGAACAAGTAACTTCTGAAAGGATCTTGTTCTGAAGTTAAGGGCTGGCAAAACAGTGTAAGCCATACCCCACTCAACCAAATTACAATAAACTACTCAACAATCTAACAATCATCGGGACAGCAGAGAGTCAAGTATCAGCACTATTACAGCAGTGTCAAAGGAGGTGGCAAGTTCTCCACACTAGGTCCAGTTAACCAAAGCGCACGCGGTCAGCAAAAATGAGATTCAAAAAATAAGGGAAAGAGATCGCAGCAGGAACCTCTTGGAAGGAGCGTTCAATTCAACCCGGCACCGTTCACTTAATAAATGTAAAAGAGAAACAAAGAATTATTTAAATAACATTACTGTATGTACAGTAGTTACATTTTTTAATCTACCACTCCACATAGCATATTTTGTTCTGTTTTTATTCAGAATAAGCTAATAATGTTTATTTTTGCCAATTCATTTCATATAATTGGACTTCAATACTTTAAATGTATTGTAGTAAACAGTGGAGAAACATGTCTAGTGGCCATAGGTCTCCACGTAGTACCAGGAGATATAATCCCACATAACCAAGCAGAAGTCAGAAGAAATGCTGTAATTCATTCACTGAGCAAGAAGCGAACACTGTAGCATGGAATGAAGCCCTTGTGCACAAAGACTCAAATATTAAGTAGTGCGTAAGTTGTCCCTAGATACAGGATACCAGACCTTCACTCACCAGCTGAAGGTAAGTGAAGGAAGGAAGGCGATACTTCTTTCTTGTTGGGTTTTGGTCAGCGACTTATATATGTTAGGCCATTTTGCCAAAGCTTCCCATTTGTTAGAGACAGAATCGTCATTCCTAAAACTCTGAAGCATGGAGGAAAAAGGGAAACGACGTTTGGCTGCATGTTTCTATCGAACTGCAACATAAAAAACGAGGTGTGTGGGTAAGTACGAGTGTTTGTTTGTATTGCAAAGATGGGGGATCATTAGAGCAATATGTATAAGGAGTGTAGCCATCTCCATCTGACCCTGAAGGAAGCACTAACTCTTACATAAACACATTTTGTTTACTAACTTGATGGCGGTTGGTGAAACAGGTAATTTTCTGGTTCATTACGTGTTCCTATCGCCTTATTCTTTACCTGGCTTGTTTTATGTCTGCCTTTATTCATATTTAAAAAAAATCATTAACCATCCTTTCTATCGGTATTGCTTAAGAAAACTACAGTATCACTGTAGTACAGGTAAACATCGAAGGTGGTGAATTAAAAATGTTAAAATTTAAGTCTGATACCATTTCAAGAGTTAAACTGATAACCCTTTCACTGTTATATGCATTGATATATGACTACCTACAAATCAAATGTGTGTGGCTGACGATAAATGGCATAATTGCCAGGTGAAATGCCATTAGGGAAGGGGTGGTGGTGGGATAATTCTGCCAAATATGTTGATGTGCGAGAACTATAAACTAGGTAAACAAATGCAAATATGAGCTGTAGCCGAGTGTACCCCATGAAAATGTATATAATTTGACTTAAAGTATTTATATAAGCTTGTATTGCTTATATAAAGTTTATATTGTATAGCTTTATATAAGCAATAGCTCTCTAGGTGCATAATAACTCCAATACTAAAATTATAGAGCCTGTAGCTATTATGGAGGGAATGTACAAAATATTGAATAGTGTACCACAAAATATTCAAAATTTGTATTATGAATATTCATATTTTTTTTAATAATGGGCATGCCAAAAGCGTAGCAGCAACGACAAACCTAACCTAGCCTGCCATAGGCCTAAATTGACAATCCTAGGCTTACAATACAGTATGCTATTTTAGGCCCAGCATTTTTTTTTTTTTTTGCATGTCCTTTTCTTATATAGTACTGTACTTCCATCCAGGGTAATGGTAGTACTGTCTTTTTGGATGACAGGTTGCATTTAAGTGCCGACCCTTGGTGTAAATTTGCATCTCAAGCCAAAAAAGATACCTGTAGCACAAACAGGAGCCATACCAAGGCCCTTGAGGGTGGAACACGAGCAAAGTTTAAGATCATCACACTGAGAACATATCCAGCCAATTAAAAAGAGTATGTTATGTTTGATAGTCAACAAAAATATTAGTTTGACACAGAAATTATTATGTGTTTTAATGTTAGGTATGAATTAGTGATACAGAAATTATTAACTATAAAAGATTTATTAATATTTGTTATCCATTCTAGTAATTATATCATTTAAGAGGTGTGTAGCACCATCAATTTTAAAATATAAATGTTAGTGATTTATGTTAATTATTTAAGTTAGAACTGCTTGTGATTTTATATGCTGCACATCGGTTTTTAAAATAATTGAAGATAAATAAATTTTTAATATTAAAAATCTTATTTCAGTTGAAGGATGAGGTTTTCAAAAACATGAGTAGTGAAAGGGTTAAAGAAGAAAAGTTAAATTGGGAACTAACAGAAAATCCTCATATCATAGAAGATTTATAAACAACTACAGTACTTATAATAATATAATAAAATTCAGTTGCAGCATATTAAGCCTTTATACATGAAAATCTTAATACAGTGAACTATTTTGCATTTTTTAATGAGACAGGACAACCACAAAACATTAAATGGAACACTTGTCACCTAGATATTATTTAAAACATTAAGTGGAACAATTGACACCTATATTATTAAAATCACAAAGCAGTAGCAAAGCCTTGTGTATATTGTAACCATAAAAAATTCATACTGTTATATGAAGGCATTAGACACTAAGAACATACAGTTGCATCCCACAAACAAAAACTAGTTTTATACATTTGTAAGGGAGCATGTTCAGCACTCGCTTTATTGAACATTTACTAACCAAGCCAGAAAATTACATTGGCTTCCCTCACCGTGCAAGAAAAGCATAACATATCAAAATATTATAATGTTACAACTGCCTATATCATACAGTAATTTCATAATTTTTAAATCAGAATGCACAGATTAAGTCAAATTAATAACTAGTTTATTAACATATTTAACAAATCATTGACGATAATTATTCATTCTGGATGAATACTTCCCCATTGAGGCTACTATAGAGGTTAATGGTCTTCAGGCAAGTAAATATTGGCAACATTTAGACTTTACACAAGAAGCCTGTACACAGAAGTTACAGTTAACAAGAATGTTTAAAATTTCTCTGGAATAAGTTGTAGCATTACTAGTTACCTGTGTTTTAAAGTGACACATGCTACAAAGAATTCTGTAAGATTAAATACAAACGATTAATTTCACCTACCTACCATAATCTTTGTCCAGAGGATACAGCAGATCTTACCTTAAAGGCAACTGAAGACAAAACTCATGAAGGTTTGATGTGTTCATATTATCAGTGCTATAATGTTGTAAATAAGAATAATGACATTGAAAACTAAAGATGATGCAGCTAGTGTGGAGATAATGAAGAGTACATGAAACATAAAATAAACAAGTGTGTACAGTACTGAAATGAAAAAAAATACAAATGCTCAAGAAAATTACTATTGTATATGTAAAGTATTAACTGTATACCAATCACATTGGTAGATGATAAATTAAATGCTTAAAAGTATTTATACAATGGTAACATTAACAAAATACACAAACTATGTGACATAACAAATAGAATATTGAGTGAAGAGGTATACTTTTAAGAACAAATTAAATACAGTACAGTATGGTAATCAAATTAGAACTTTTGTAAATCAAAATTTTTTTACGAGAAAGTTAATCTTGGTTTTTGATGAATCCTATTGATACCAATACTGTATACAGTATTGTACACTTATTTGAAAGTCCACCCAAACTTTTACATTTTCTAATGTTGCAAGTCTTGCATATTTAGGAAGTGTGTGTACAGTAATCTGTACATCATATGAGATCTGTTAAGAATTTTAGTTTGTAGCTTGCGTAAGTTGATGAATTTATTTTCTACATTTTTTAAGTTATTGTGCCATAGTACTGTGTATCAATCCATCCTCCTGAAGTGATAGTATAGTAACTATTTGGTCAAAAGTACAAACATGTAGTGATGGACAACCAGTAAGCCACTTTTTGTACTTTTAATATTATAGAGACCAGAAAAATAAAGCTAAAACCGGACTCAAATATTTCTTGGCCTTGTATAGCACGTGTATGTACTATATTAGGCCTAGGATTCCTAGGCGAGGTTAGGTCTTATATTTATGTTGCAGCTAAAAAAGTTAAGGTTTATCCAAATTCAGTAATACAAAAGTCAACTTTTTGGTAGTTCATCACTATATTGGTGCTTTCAATCAAATAATTACTACAAATACTGTAGTTTCATTTTAGGAGGATAGGCTGATATTAATTACATACAAGAGTGTACTCTGTGCATTATATGTTTTAATTATTTACAGAGTCTTGAGGTATTTGCATTTGCTTTGTTTCACATAGCCACCTGTAAGAACAAGCTCTGTACTCAAATTAGATAAATTGTCTATTATCATTAATATGTGATTGAAACTGATGTAAAGATTACATAAACTCTAAGCACCAAATCTAAACCATTCTTGTAATGCACATTGAAAAATGGGAATTTCCAAGATAATCCAATATGAATTATTTGTCGTATTACCAGAGTCACATTAGTGAGTCTTGGTATCCATATACTGTACTTCCTCGGTATAATTTGGTTCTTCAGATCATCTTCACAACTTCACTTATCAATATTACCCCATCGACTGCTGTCATGGGATGAAGAGGTATTCATTCAGAAAGGATGTGAAAGTATTTTTAAAGATATTGTAATCAATACAATGAATAATTGATGATAAATAATGAAGAATACAGTACCTTAAAATAATAGTAAAGAAAAATCGGGCTGGCAACTTCATTTTATACAGTTTCACACAAGTTCAGTTGTTCATATATAGCAAGGGATGTCTGTAAGTAATTCCATATACAGTATCAAGAAAACAATAGTATTCCTGGTAGAAAAATTATTTATGCTGTAATCAGGTGTGTAGAACAGTATTATAAGATGGAGGTGGCTTTATTATTATTTTTCATGATATTAAGATCTAATGTGTTGCTTGTCCTGTGTTTAGATATTGGAAAACATAGTATTGTACTGTACTTTATAAATGCTCATTAAACAAAACACAACTTCATAGAAAAACTCACATCTCTGAGGAAGTTAAAAATAACAACATAAAACTAAAATTTTTATTTTCTCATACTAAATTAATAAAAGGCATTCGTATTTGTAATTTATGAGGAAGAATTAAAGAGATGAGTGGAACCAATGTGTAATAGAACAGCTGTTCTCATTGAAATGTGTTAAAACTGTTTTGAATTATTGAGTTACAGTGATGGGGCAAATCTTTCAAGCCCAAAGTTTTATGATGAGTAATATATTATATAATGTATTTAGTTGCAAAAAGTGATCTGTTTATCCATTTTGGAATTAAATAAGGACTTCTTCAAAAATTTTCACACGCATACATGTTCACACAAATATGTGTAAGCATTCTGACCAATTCATCCTTTTAAAGTATATTTAAGTGTGTTCCATTTTGTTTACAAAACCTGACAGTCATGAATGTTTTCAAAGCAAAGCTCTTATGCAATTTTATAAGCATGCAACAAGTTTTTTTGTTTAACAATATGAAATAATTTTTAACTACGGGCTGCAAAATTTCTTTAAGCTCAAGCACATTTTGAAGTAATTAATTACAAAAAGTCATGTGAAACAACTATAAGAGTTCAATTAAAATAAGTTATGATTTTATTTTGTAGGATCATTAACTTAATCAATTCAATAGGAACTTGGTAAATTATATTTTCCTATTACTCACCACACAGAGAAAACTACATTTTTATTCACAAACTCAACACTGAGCACCTGTGTCACAAAAATAAGGTTATTTTACTTTTGAGCAAAGACTGATGATGTATATACTAGCACACAATTCGGATAAGGTAACGCTTATAAATATAAATGTAATGGATTTAATTATATTTTTACAGGCACAATATGATTATTACAAACTAAATACAAGAATAAAAATGATTGATCTTACAATCTACAGTACTTGTATATGGAAGTGCAAAATTTAAACAAAAATCCATTATTTTATGCAGAAAAAACACGCACACACATGCATACAACCTCAAGAACAAGACAGATTCAAGCTAGGGAAACAAAGGGGTTGAAAAAATATTAGAAAGTTTTCTTTTGCAAACAGTGGTAGATGGTTGAAACAAGTTACGTGAGAAGATGGTGGAGGCCAAAACTGTCAGCAGTTACAAAGTGTCATATGACAATACTGGGAAGACGGGACACCACGAGCGTAGCTCTCATCCTGTAACTACACCTAGGTAATTACACACGTGGTGTTTGTAATTACACTACGTAATGGTGGTCATCAGAAACTAACATCTTCAGAAGTCATTAGCTAATGATTTATTATAGGTACAAGCTTGAGAATTTGCAAGTAGTGTCAGAATGGTAATAATAAAGATAAATACGATAGTAAAACTGAAGTGGTAAAAGGCACAGTACAGAAAATAAGTGATAGAAATGTTGAAACTAAATATGCCATATAATCCCTATAATGTGGAGGTAATGCAGAAATAGTGGAACTACATCTTGACAAAGAGAAATTAGTAAAAACAAATATATACAATGCAGCAACAAGCAAATCTTCAACCAGGGAAGAGAGTGGAATGAAGAATGAAAATGATCCAGAAAACTAAACATGACTGAATAATACTTAAAGTTACTAGGTGATTATCACCTGAAATGCAGGGACTGAAAGGTGTAATGAGGTAAAACATGAAGAAAACTGGGTGGTACTTTTCCTAAACATGACACTCTTTTGCATTAACATGTACAAGTGGCCATGAGAATGAGAAATGGGGATGACCTGTAAATTCGTGACCTAGTCTTCAGTAGACAGGAAGAACATGTACTTCATTTGTAGTAATTTTTATATTAGGATTTGTTAGGTTGATTTTTGCCATTTTTTTTCTTCGGAATATGACTAATCAATTTACATCTAGGTCCCCAGTTACTGTAGAGTACAACATGGGCAAAATGAGTGAAGAAATGTTGCCAAGTTGTCCCAAACAAACGTTACTGGGAAGTTTTATCTCCAACTTTATGATTGTGATAAAAGTATCAGCGATAGTTCAAGAAAGAGATGAATAAGCATACTGTATCTTCCTAGATTTCATGAAGGGAGGTTTGACAAAAATCTGCATACAAAGCTACATTATTATGTAAGCTAGAATGTAAAGGAAGCATACATGATACATTACTTGAACAGATGAGGGATTTCTTCACATATGCAAGGTATGCAACTAGGGTAAAAAATCGGAATAGAGGTTGATTACCAACTAGGTTCTTCAAGGTCAGTGTTGATACCCATTATGTTTATATTTTATGCAACTGACTTGACAGAGGACATGGAGAGTTGTATGGACATGTTTACCAACTACGCAAAGATACTAGGTAAAGTAAGTGATAATTTTGATTACAGTGAACTGTAATTGTTCTTGATGAGACGAATAAAGCAGAATATGAGTGATGGGTTTCAATGTTGATATCACGCCACAGAAATGGGATGGAGCCAGAAAGGAAGCCAGGTTTCTAATAATAAGAAACAATCACTGGAGGAGACATAAATGCCAAAGTAAAAGAAGCCTTTTACATTGCTGACAAACATTAGGGTAGTGTTTAATTATGTAAATGGTGAAATTATAAAGAATCACTTCATATGACCAAAATTAGAATATAGAACAAGAGCATAGTGTTTCCACCTTAAAACTAAAGTGAATAAAACAGAGCAAGTTCAATGGCATGCAACTATGTGGATGGAAGATGAAAGTCCTAGAGGAGATATAATTGATAGATGTAAGTTATTGACAGTTGAAGTGAAAATATATATAGAAGACTTTCTGCAACTAGCAATAAGGGTAATTAGAAACCACAGATGAGCTGGTAAAATAAAGAAATAGAAATATACAAAAAATATGTTCTTTCTAAACAGAGTGGTGGAGGGATGGAACATGCTCCAAAAGATGAATGTAAGTAGCAAAACCATTGCAGAAGTTAAGAGCTGGAGTATTTCATTATTGAAATGTGATAAGCTGGAGTTCTGTATGTAATTTGAAATGGCAAAATATGTACAGAAGATGGTACACCATGAGTATAATTCTTTGTATAATTACACTTGCAATACATGGACAAACATTCCCCCCCTCTCCCTCTTTATTTCATGGTTGAAAGTCACCGAGCTTGATAAGGACTACTAGGAATGCATGACTGACAAGGAAATATCATGCTGGCAATCTGTCATCATATCTCCTGATGATATTTCAAGAAACACCCAGTAGGGTGTTTCTTGAAATACCATCTGGAGGAGGCAGCATTATTCACAAATGGATTACTGTGAATAATGGGATTACAGTAGTTAGTGGTATACTAATGCCACCAACATTAATTACTTTTGTGTATATCTGTATATATCATTCACAACATTCATGCATTCACATACACTACACATTACAATACTAATGTAAAAAAATATTTTAATGTACTCGCCTGATACAACAAAAAATGGAAAACAATTTGCATGAATTGTACTTAGTGTTTCACTTAAATAGATATATACAATATACAAATGTGTTCAATTTTATTGTAATGTTGGATGGGTTTGCTTGGATGGAGGGTGGAAGGAAACAAAAAAAAAATGCATCAACCAAAGAACTTGAAAAAGCTATAATGCATTTTGGTTCTAGATACATATTTTACATTTACCAAAAGCACTGGGTACTAGTATATATATATATATTGCTGAACAAAGTCAATATTAGTATGATATTTTTTTACTACAGTATTTGCAATTATTGTTGTTTGGGAATAAATATTAAACTGGCAAAGAAATACAGTAATGTAATTCTCCTTTGCAGAACATTGGTTTTTATTCTCTGCAAACAAGACTCATTAATAATTATAATTTTATCTAATGCCATTCACATATGCTGGCAAGAAGTATTAAATGCCTGCTGAAAATATTGATCTGTTCCTTTGTAAAATATACCAATAACATAAATTTACGTATGCACCAAAAACTAAATATTGTAGCCAGTACTATAATTAGGTATGTCCAAGTGAATGAAATGGAATTAAATATTTAGTTTGATAGCCCTTTAATTAACATTTTCTTCTAAATAGTTTGATATATCTTTAAGTTTGATTGCCCTTTAAGTGGGCCAGTCAGAGGCTTAGGACCCGCACAGAAATATCCCTGCAAGAAAAAAAAAAAATTCTTCTAAATGTTCAGTCCTGAAGCATAATATCAACTAAGAGCTAATTAACCTGTATATGCATAGTAGCACTGATTGCAATGTCACATGCATACAATTCATAAGTAGATTCTTGTTTATGCACTGTTAGTAGATCATTGTCATTAATAAATACCTGTCTCTCAAGATGGTGTAATTCATAAGTATTCCTTTTTTCATGCAAAGGTACAGTGAGCATGTTAAACAGGATGATGGGTAAGCACATTAGCTAAATACTGTAATATACAAAATTATATAAGCCCCACTTAGGAAATTCATAAATTTAATACTTGGTTAAAATTTCAAAATAATAAAATTCACATATAAAAATTCATATTTAAATAGTAGGCACATAACTTTTTTTATACAGTTCTAAGAACTAAAAGTAAATATGTGAGCAATATAATGCATAGTACAGTATGGAGTTCAACAATGCAATGGTACATTTTAACCATTCCCATTAAATGATTTGCAGAAGAAATTGATGGTAACTTAACAAGTGATAATCTTCAAGTTTGTACCTATGGGAAAAATCCTTTACATAGCAGTAATTACAAAAAATTATATATATACAGTATACACACACACACACATGATGAAATCACAATTTGATGCAGTGGCGGCTCGCCCATAGGAGCTGCTTAGCTGCAGTCCCGGTGTATGACTCCATCAACCTTACACTAAAATAATATGCAACTAACAAATGTATCATAATAAAAGTCTTTATATGTTATTTTCAATATATTTATAACCAATTTTTGAAAAATGTCATTAAAATGAGATAAAAAGGTTTCATGCTGTACGATAGTATAAGACTTATTGGTGCTGCATCTCTCAATGTTGAGCTGCATTTGGAGCAGCCCAGTCACACTGTCAGGCCCGTGTTTAGTGTTTACGTTGAGTGAGGTTGGTGTCATGTGTTGTTAGTGGTGCTAAAATTGCTTTAGATACTTTACAAGTTTAATTACCCTTTGACAAACAATGACTGATTTTCTTTTAAAGTAATATTGTCACCACCTCAGCCATCCATACCTTCACCAACCTTATACAGTGCATATAAGGTATGTTTATAAATGTTTTTTGTTTACTTATTCCTTTTATTTTTCTTGTATTTATTATTATGCTGTTGTGAGAAGCTTGTAGTGACGCAGTCCCTCCATTCTATTTTTCCACGAGCCGCCACTGATGTGATATAGGAATGAGGAAAATATTGAAGCACTGTAATGGGAATTGAACTTGTGTATCTGGATTCCCCAGACACACACACACACACACACACTAACCACTGAACAATGATGAGTTTAAAAGTATCTCAATCAGCAGTTCTGCCAGACTTCGGTCATTCTGACAGAATTTGTTTGAGACAGCTTTAAACTCATAATGATTTTAAATAAATAAATAAATTAAATAATAAATAAATATACATTATATATAAATATACACACATCTGCAAAGCTTTCTATATTATATTTTCTCTTAAATTTCACACATAAACAATAATTTTTCTAACAATGGAAGTGAGTGTCCAAGGGGAAGTGTGGTGTTGCTCTCCATTAATGGGGGTGTTGACGTACGTTGTGCTACTGGAAATTAACTGCCATGCCCTTTCTTCTACACCAGGAGTTACTGCAACTGTTGAAAAAAGCAATCAGTTACAAGGAGAGACAATGTTCTACAGCTTTATGGCAACATATGATGTGTAAAATTATGATAATGGTGAGAATAGTATGAATAGGTGTAACTTTGATAATTATTAACATTCTATAAACTGTTTGCTAAACTTAGTCAGGGATGAATTTATAAAATGCACTAAAAAATGGTCAAATACTTTTTATCCAATAGCCATAACATAACCAACTTTCAAATCCCGTTAAATAAAATCTCGAGATCCTTTAAACAACTAAATGATGCAAGACCCAGCATTTTTTAGGATACTGCAGACCAGGGTGTGAATGTTTACTATATTTCTTTGGCATCCAAGCTTTTGGCTTTGTTTAATTTGTGGTTTTCTGCCACATTTGTAATAAGCTGGAGTTCTCAGAAAGTTAGAAACAAACATAACTAACTGGTCTTTCAGGGCATTGATTACAGTCTCCGTGGTGTAGTGGTAAGACACTCGCCTGGCGTTCCGCGAGCGCTATGTCATGGGTTCGTATCCTGGCCGGGGAGGATTTACTGGGCGCAATTCCTTAACTGTAGCCTCTGTTTAACGCAACAGTAAAATGTGTACTTGGATGAAAAAACGATTCTTTGCGGCAGGGGATCGTATTCCAGGGACCTGCCCGAAACGCTACGCGTACTAGTGGCTGTACATGAATGTAACAACTCTTGTATATATCTCAAAAAAAAAAAAAAAAAGATATTGAGTGGTGCAGCTTTTGTTGTTGGGACTCTGACAGTTTGGGCTGTATTTGATTGTTGCAACAGTTTCTGCTATTCTAATTGCTTATATGCTGTTAGTTCTAGGTTATCCTTCAGTTGCATTCACCTATTCACTCCAATTCAGAACTGTCGTCTGCATATTTTTTTTTCAACTTTTTGTTTTAAGACTTGGGGGTCTTAATTCTGGTGTATATGTCTTATTTCTGGTGGCTGCAGTGTCATACTCATGCTATGTAGCATTATGCATACATCACAACTTTCTTATTGCACACATCTGCTGTCCTCTTCAGGACCCAGGAATTCTGGTACTCAATTTGGGTATTTGTTGCTCATTTCTTCCCAGCTCTGGCTCAACTTCGGTGCAAGTGTGTGGCACTGGGCTTGATATACTGTACTCAATTGGAGATTTTTACTTCAGTTCTGTTAAGACTCCTTCATTTCAGATGTTTACTTCTTTGAGTAAGTCCCTTCTTGTCTTTTTGTTTTCAGTGCACATTTTGTTAATTGTTTCTGTATTTAGGCTGGTTTCTTTGCAAGGCACTGTTGCCAAGACACATTGAAGATACCAAGAGAAAAGCTCCAGAAAGAGAGCAATGGGTGTAATTAAATGCCCCATTCTAGACTGGCCTTGGTAGCTCCATTTCCTCTTGTCTACCCTCCTCCTTGGGACTGGATGTAATGGCAGGGACTAGAGAATGATGGGTGAGCACTAGGCAGTGCCAACTATTGACCGGCTGCCACCTGGTTGTGGGTAGAGGGGTGTAGTGTTGAAGAATTACCATGATTGCTTATTTAATTGTACTTTTGTTTTGGTTGTTAAGTAGTTTCCTAAACATTTCTTGGAGGGAGTTTTGATATTTTATAATTTGCTTTCATAGAATGAAGGGGCCTGTCTCACTATTGGGTTGATATCTGATCCCCATAAGCTGCTGGCCTTGCAAAGGAATTTTGCAATGGACCTCACCTGTGGTCTTTATGTATGCCTGACATTAATGTCTGACCAGTAACAGCAGCATATTTGCTAGGGAAAGCTACTGAAGTGAGCTAAGAAAAGGGCATTTCAGTATACTCAACACTTTATTTTAATGTCATTTTCTTCAATAATAGCTTAAGTTTACCCAAGTAAAATATTTTCGGTATCAAACACTTAAATGAAATCCAGCTACCTTAAGCATTTTCCTAATACCATATCATAGCACTTAACGGTATATTATGTCTTTATATTGTACGATAATTTATTCCAGCCTAAACACCATTCAATGTTGAACTTTTAATACTGCAATAAATAATGACCATCTTTTCCTGTATCATTCAAAAATTCTCATATAATGAATTCAGTATTAATGCTACACTGTGTTTTAGATCCAATGCAAACTAAAAAAAATTAAAATGTTTTAAGTAAATTCTTAATATAAAAGACAAAATAAAAGGAAAGAACACAGTACAGTAATTTTTAAAATCCAGTCCACAATTCTGTGATTAATTTACAAAAGACCTGCTTTATTGCATAGTACTTTGTGAAAACCACACCACTCACCTGATCTTGCATGTGATTTAATATTAGGTATGCAGGCATTTTCATTCTTGCATAACTGGGTAATTCCTATACCCAAATTTGCTAATGGCTCTTCATGCCAAACTGAACCATTATTTTTCAAAAAAATTAGTCGTTCATGTATTTGTTGCAATTGGTAACCAGGTGGTGCTAGGACACTAGGAGGCATTGTTCTCATGCCTGTTGGAATAGGGACTGGCATTGTTGAAGAAGTCAACATTTGTTCTGAAGGTTGGTGCATTCCAGGAAGGTCATGGGTATCAGATTCTTTCTCTGGTTCCAGGGAAGGGTGTTTTTGTTCCGTAGTCAAGCTTCCTGAGAGCTGAGTAGGATCTTCATGGCTGCCTGATGTTTGCTTTCCACGATGGTGATGTATTGTCGGGTGCTCATATGTGACTTGAGAACTTTGAAGAATGTTTCTCTTAGCTCTTGGGCTTTCCAAAGTTGTTGGTGGCTGCAAACCAGAATAGTCCTCTCTTACTGGATTAATAATCTCTTTCTCTACATTTGTATGACTACCTACCGAATATGTCTTTAACAAAGTGTGTAATGGTAAATCGGATATCTGATTAGATTCAGAGGTATTATTTGAATTGAAAGCAATATCAACTTCACTTTCATTTTCAACATCTTTTTCAAGATAAGTTGGTTCAGTTTCTACTACGTCATTGATGAGGGTAGCCTTGGTTGTTCTTCTGTTAACTGAAGGTGAGGATTTTAAAGTTTTTACATGATTAGTTACATGCTTCCATTCCCATATCTTCAGTATTGCCCCATGACACTCCCCATTTGCTAAAAGAGCTGCCCATGACACCCCCGCACTATGTTCATAATCTTTGTGCCACAAAAGTTGATCATCTGAATGTGTAAGATGAATCTCCGATTTACAATATGGGCACACATCTTTATTCAATACGATCACTTTACATGGATCTCTCTCTGAATGATGAATTGGGTATTGTTGAGTTTGAGGTTGTGTGCTCTGGGAAGTCTGAGAAGCTTGAGTAGGGGCTGCATCACCTAATATCTGGTTTAACAGTGCTGTGAGATCCATCTTTCCAACTTCCTCTGAAATGCATAAATATGGCTTGGATTAGATGACATAATGGGGGTATTTGGTACCTAGTAAATATAATGATTTAATTCATTAAAGCTGATTACAAATAATATAAATCAATGCTAATGGTGGAGCCAGTTTTTACTGAACTTTTCATGTATCTGTTTACTTGGTAGTCAAAAATAAAATTAATTAACCTTGGTCACCTAATAGAAGCATTGTCAAGTTAAACCTAGCAGTAAATAGGTACCCAGGAGTTAGCCAGCTTGTGAGGTTGCATCCTGGGCACGGTCAGTAATTCGACCCTGAAGGGGGGAACCCCTCAGTATAAGCCTAACATGTACGGTATGTACAACCTGGTTTCTTGTCCAACAACACAATGAATAATAAAATTGAAATGTGTATTCTTCCCATGAGTTTCTCAGCCTTGGCTACAATGACACCATACACCTAGTGCTCTACTTTATTTTCTCCATGTCCCTGCTCTTACACAGCATACTTTTTCATATCTTATGCCTTAGTGCCTTTCTTATGCCTTTCTTGACCCATTTCTTAAATTTTTCATTATTTGTTGACTCTTGCAGTGTGGGAATAGCTCTCGGGTGTCTCTTTCAATATAAGATCAACCTTTTACTCTGAAGTGTATTAACATGTAGTGCATTGTTTTCAGAGGTCAGGTTATGAAGAATTACCTCTGCTGTCAATAGATGACTCTTAAAGAGTTCAAATGAGCTACTGGAAAAATATAATTATCTTTACAATTAATATAACCGTAATAGATAAATGTATTTTATATTTTTATATTTTTAATGAGTTTCAAATCTAAATCAGTTTTTTTTTTTTAATATATTTATTTCTAATATTAGAGAATATATTTTATTTACAATAATTCTTGTGCAATAATAAGTGCAAAATGTATCACAGCTGAGAGTGTATCTATAGGCACATTGTATGTAGCTGGCAGTGGCAAAATCTACTTATGACCACAACTTTGTAAATATACCAGATCAACACTGAGGTAACGAGAAAAAACAATTATTTTTAATGTTCTGTTCATATAGTGTCACATTCTATCACTTCTAAAGGAAAATTCAAGCAGTGAATGTAATGAAATGCTCTGTTCTAGTAGGTCACTCAATGGTTCCCTGAGCCTTTGGGAATCACACCAGGAGAGTAGGGCAATCATTGCTGGGGTAAATATTGCAGCTATAATGTGCTTGACTACATCCAGGTGGCAGCTCAGGTCACCCAGGTTTCTGAGACTGCCAGCCAGTCACTTCATTCAGGAGCCACTCAAATCGGAAATGCCACACCCACCTCCCACGGGATAGACGGGAACAGGGTGGGTATGGGGAGCTACTGAGTAGCCCACCAGAAGAATGTTTCATTACATTTAAAATTATTTTTGGGAGGCCCCCCCACCAGTAGTTCACCAAGCTATCTCATAACAGCATTTCATCAGAGCAGACCAACTTCTCTGAAGGTTAAACAAATACTGTCCATGTTTGGAAATTCAAATCATATGGGACTAACTGGCATTTGAGTTATCCAACTCTCTATTAATTTTTCGTACATTCCTGTTAAAAAAAAAAAAAAAAAAAAAATCCAGGTGTCTCATTTGACAGAAACTGCAATACAATAACTTGAAAATCTATTGGAGTTGAGAAACTAAGCACTGAAACTAAAATTTATTTGAGTTTCAGTACTTAAAATTACTAAAGCAAAAATTACACTAACCAAACTTTTTGTTAAAAACTGAAACACTTGAACTCTAATTCCTACTCGATTTCTTGTTTGTGTTAAGGGGTTAAAATGGGAAAGACTGAACCCGAATTAATTCGCATCACTCAAAAATTTGGGTTACTGGATTCTGAAATACTAAGCTCTTACAGTATTAATAAAACAGAAAAGACAGCCTCATCTTATCTGTAAGAGAAGAAAGCAGGAGAGGCTGAGAAGTGGATCTCAAAGCCTGGTGTGATTCCTTATGGCTTGGCACCCACAGTGCTATACCTCCAGGACCAACTGAGGTCCCACAGGTACCTCGAAAAATGCATCAAATAATAGATGGATAATTATTAATGTGAATTTTTCTTTGCATGAAGACATATTCTGACAAAATGCCTCAAATTAATACTGTAGGTGAGGTCTGGATGATACTTGAATCTCTCAATAATAGCAATAACTATCAGTCTCATTTATTTTTTACATGCCAACATCTAGAGGTTTAGGAATTTAATATACTTACCATTACCTACAGTGCCCAAACATGAATATGATACTGCTTGGCCATCTGATGTAACTGACAGTATCCTTTGGCACTGCTTGAGAACTAATGGGGAACCAATAATACTTCCTGATTGGCCACACACAAGAACTAAGTGGTTTATCAAGGAATGTGAAGTTAGAGATTCTGGTAACTCTGATTCAGTACTCCAAGTTTCAGAATCTGGATATTCCTGTTTCCATGAATGCATTTTCTTGGATGTCAACAAGCCTGAGAAGAGAAGCTCCCCAAAACTGTCATTATTAACATCAGGAAGGAGGAGTGCAGGTCCAGGATTGTAAAGTTTTAATGGTGAATGTGACGTGTGGCTCGTTGGCTGAGATGGTGATGAATCTGGAAATTTTATCCAGTTTATAAAGTTGAAACAGAATCAATGCACACAACATTTGTCTGAAATAAATAAAAATAAAAAACATGTCTCGGCATGATTTTATCCTATTTCACTTTAAAGATAACATTTTCTAATTACTGTAGCCATTCTCTTTAGCTTACGTTCCACTTTCAAGAATCAATTTTTTAACTTTTACCCTTCTCGCTTTCTTTTTTACATTTCAAACGTTCATTCAGCAATAATAAAAACAAATATATATATATAAATACAAACAATTTGAGAAACCTCCACCTAACCCAGTAACCTAGCCTAACCTTTTCATATTTTATGTAATATGTACAGTACATTAATCTAACCTTACCCTTTCAAAATGTGTGCCACTTAACTTAATCCTTTCAATCTGAGTATCATGTAAAGTAACTAATCATGTTGTATCCAACACACTTTTCTTCAATCTTATTTTATTTATTCCTATAAAATGTTTATTAATAAGTAATGTAATGTCTTATCATAAACATAACACAGGATAAAAAACCCACACTTATAAAATTGTGTATTTTATGTAAAGCTTTGAACTACATCTCAACATTGAGATGCAAGTCTCATCTTAACCATAAGGATCGTTCTAACTCATATCTTGATAAAGCATTTAGCAGAGTGCGAAAGACTTGATGTAGTTTCAAATCGTTACATAAAATACGCGAATACAAAAGTGCAAGTTATTTATCGTATATTTATTAATGTCAATTGTTCTATTGCAAATAGGCATTGGCAAAGATAATTCTTCCTGCTATATAGTTTTGTAAAATAAATATAATACACTCCTAAATAATGTTTACCAAGTGAGGATCATAACTTTAGAAAATTACTAACCTTCAATATCTTTATGCATGTGTAAGTGCCATATAAGGTTACCATATCGTGCCTCAATCATAGAGACCATGGAATTAGCACCCCGGACAATGCAGTCTGGTACTCTGTCTCCACTAACATCAAGCTAAAGGAAAATGAGGAATATAACAAGAACCATTATGTTTTATGCAATAAAAATAAAAAGCCATAAGAATGTTTAGCTCACATAGATAAATTATATATTTTTCAGGAAATGTATGATATAAAGCAATTTTAATATACAAATAATGGCTTATGTTGTATTTATGTACATTAAAAGATCCTATGAAACACTGAATCTAAATAAATATTGTCATCAAACACGAAGATAAATATTTGAATAAAGATGTAAATATCTAATAATGGCACTATAGATGAAGCCATTATTAATCAGAGTTGCTAATGTCATTCACTTCTATTTACCAAATCACATTGCAGATCTACAGGGCATTCCCTTAGAGAAATGCGCCAGTTTTCTCTGCCCAGGTTACCATCCAGCATTAGAAGGCCGCAGTGACCATCACCCTCACTAACACTGCTGCCACTTAAGCCACAGTTGCTACAATCTGTTTGTGTGTTATCTGAAATAAGTGGAAAACTAAACAAAAATGAAACTAATTAAAATTAGCTACTGTTCACATAATTTAAGATATTTGATATAAAGTAATCTGATGCAGTACTTACACAGTATAAAGTTGCAAAATATGACAGATACACCTCCATTTTATCTAAAGCAGTTCCATGAAAGAAAACACTGATTTGCCTGGAAACGGACCATAACATAGTGAAAGCTGCAGGCAACAATATACATTCTCCTTGACCAGGAGATAACTTGTTTCACTTGGTCTAAACTGCATTATATCAAAGTAAACTATGGTACATTATTTTATTTCCAAGAGCTTTCATTCTAAATGTCTAAAAATTATTTTAAATACAACTTTAATATTCTGAAATGTGCTATTCTAATCATCATCATTTAATTAAATACTGGAAAATCACTGTAAATTCGTTGGTAATAAAACTTAAACATAAAATACTAACCAGACTGCCATGATTCATCATCTGGGAAAGAGGAATTATCTGACTCCCAACTGGATATGTTGATTGCTGTGTAGTAACTGAGAAGAACATTATTCCCTCCATCAAGTCTTTGAACTAGCTTGGTTTGATTGATACCTAGAAGATATTATAGAAAGGGAACAAAATTTTACTAGGCTTTGACACCAACTTTTCTAGGTTAAGCACACACAAATCATCATTTGATTTCTGTTATCCCTTTCTCAAAAGGAATAGCGAATGAACAAGACAGTTGGTCCAGATGGAGTTTTGCCATGGGTTCTGAATGTGCACATGAGCTCAGCATTCCACTTCAACTGATTTTTAAGGTATCCCTGTGTACAGGCATTGTAGCTGTTATGTGGAAAAAGAGTAACACAGTTCCAATCTACAAAAGTGGCAGTAGGGAAGACCCCCTCAATTATAGACCTGAATCACTTGACAAGTGTAATAGTCAAAATATTGAAAAAAATAATTAAAACTAAATGGGTTGAACACCTGGAGAAAAACGATATAATAACTGACAGACAGTATGGTTTTCGATCTGGAAGATCCTGCGTAACGAATTTACTCAGTTTCTATGATCGAGCCACTGAAATTTTACAGGAAAGAGATGATTGGGTTGACTGCATCTATCTGGACCTACAAAAGGCTTTCAACAGAGTTCCACATAAGAGGTTGTTCTGGAAACTGGAACATACTGGAGGAGTGAAAGGTAGGCTTTTAATATGGATGAAAAATTTTCTGACAGAAAAATGAGGCAATGTATCGAACTGGAGAAATGTCACGAGTGGAGTACCACAGAGTTCAGTTCTTGCACTGGTAATGTTCATTGTCTACATTAATGATCTACCAGATGGAATACAGAATTATATGAACATGTTTGCTGATGATGCTAAGATAATAGGGAAGAAAAGAAACTTAGATGAATGTCATGCCCTTCAAGAAGATCTGGAAATAAGTGTATGGAGCATAAGTGTATGGGGAGCCGGTCGGCCGAGCGGACAGCACGCGGGACTTGTGATCCTGTGGTCCTGGGTTCAATCCCAGGCGCCGGCGAGAAACAATGGGCAGAGTTTCTTTCACCCTATGCCCCTGTTACCTAGCAGTAAATAGGTACCTGGGTGTTAGTCAGCTGTCACGGGCTGCTTCCTGGGGGTGGAGGCCTGGTCGAGGACCGGGCCGCGGGGACACTAAAAGCCCCGAAATCATCTCAAGATAACCTCAAGATAAGCACCACATTGCAAATGGAATTTAATGTAAATAAATGCCATGTTATGGAATGTAGAATACGAGAACATAAATCCCATACAACCTATAAATTATGAGAAATCTTTAAAGAATTCTGATAAAGAAAGAGATCTAGGGGTGGTTCTAAATAGAAAACTATCACCTGAGGACCACATAAAGAAAATTGTGCGTGAAGCCTATGCTACACTTTCTAACTTCAGAATTGCTTTTAAATACATAGATGACGAAATACTAAAGAAACTGTTCACGACTTTTGTTAGACCAAAGCTGGAATATGCAGTGGTTGTATGGTGCCTGTGTTTTAAGAAGCACATCAACAAACTGGAAAAGGAACAAAAACATGCGACTAAATGGCTCCCAGAACTGAAGGACAAGAGCTATGAGGAGAGGTTAGATTTATTAAACATGAAGATAAATACTAGAAGATAGAAAGAAAAATACTAGAAGATAGAAAGAGGCGATAGAAAGAGGCAATATGACCACTACGTATAAAATAGTAACGGGAATTGATAAAATTGATAGGGAAGAATTCCCGAGACCTGGAACTTCAAGAACAAGAGGTCATAGATTTAAACTAAGCAAACAAAGCTGTCGAAGGAACATAAAAAAATTCACTCTTGTAAACAGAGTGGTAGATGGTTGGAACAAGTTAGCCGAGAAGGTGGTGGAGGCCAAAACCGTCAGCACTCGTCAAAGCGTTATATGACGAGTGCTGTGAAGACGGGACACCACAAGCATAGCTCTCGTCCTGCAACTATACCTAGATAATTATACTTGGGTAAGACACACACAGATGTAAGTGAAGAGCAAGTTTCTACCCTTCTACCATAGGGTTTGCCTTTTTAATGTAACAATAGATACACAGTGAAAGGAATGATTTATATTTACTTTTCTGATCAAGATTTTGTAGTACTGCACCGTGTTTATCTGTACAAGTTACCAAATTATAGTGCATATACTATTGTTTATGTAAATGTATGTTTAATATCAATTGCATTAAAAAAAGCACCATGATGGTGTATTATTTGCACCATCATCTCCATAACCATGATAGCTCTAGCTATCCTCAGCCCATATCACTATCTCATTCCTTTGTGTAGATTATTTGTATCTTAATAAATTTAGTTTAATTTCAATTTTACTTTCAAATGTGCAAATGTTGATCAATATAAAAAATACTGTATGGTGCTGAATTAAAATATTTAATTATTCTATATTTGTGTTTAATAACTATTTCAATACCTTACCTACTTTCAAAGATCTGTTATAATTATCTGAACTTAATATTATTATTCATAAGTACCGTATATAATGTATATATATCTCTTTCCATAAGGTAGGCATTCCTCATTTAAAGTAAGCATAGGCATTCTTTAAATCTACATTCCTGTTAGGAGTTGTCACATTCAAATTCCACTCCCTGATGAGGATCCATATTGTCACAAGCAGTAATTCTACACTGCATGCATCTCATACAGTAAATAACCTGGGTTTGAAAGTTTTAAATTGCAAGTGTTATTTTTGTGAGCCAAACATACAATTTAAATTATATGACTTAAGGCCAAAGTAATATGGTAAGTAAATACATGTATTGTGTCCACAAATAAATAATAATTCACACACAAAGCATTTACACAACTCACCCATTCCTTCAATCTTCACAGCCCAATCTCTGTCTCTCAATTCAAGTTCTCCTTCACAAGGCTGTACATCACAAGGTAGCACCCAGAGAAAGGTCGCCACAACTAGAATACCCAACATAATGGATGCAATGAAGCATGCCCTACGAGCAGGTGACATGGGTGTTGGTGTCCAAATAGTAATAGGCGTGTCTAAAACTGTCTTGAGATCTGCATCATTATTATTCAATAATCGGTATTCATTTCCATGGCCTCCTGTAACAAGAGAAAATTAATTAAAATGATTTATTAACCCTATGTAATTGTGGACTGATTTGCCTGTTGCATAAACAAATTAACATAAGAAATCATTGCCATTTCCCCTCAATGATACTTTCTTTTACCAACTACTAAATGTTGACTAAGCTCAGTTTAAAATCTCACCCAGAAACATTATTTCTGCCAGAACCAATAGCTTTGTTTCATTTAAATGCTTCATGATATATTTATCCATTCATACTGTGTGTGTCCTAGCATTCCATTTTGTTCCAGCTCTGGCCAGGGTTGTCTTTGCTGGGTCAGCTTGTAATTGTGTTACCTTATATCCAGCAAGAGATACCTGCTCTGAGGGATTGCAGACACACTCTTCTATAAGTTGCCTCCTCTCAAGGTACAGTATCTCATTTCTGAGCAGTGTTTGCAGCTTGTACTACTCTGTGAGGCCAGTTGATAGGAAGAGACAGTCTGTTGATTGTGTGCTGGTGCTTGTTCACCACCTGCCTAATATGCTGGTCCTGTTCCTTTGAGTGTTAGGGGCCCGGTGTTAAAAGCATGCACATGGATTGTGCATGCTTCTTGGGGTTGATGGCTGCTTACACCCTCCATCACTGAGTGTTCAAGAATGTGGTTTAATGTTTGCTTTGACCAGACACTTTCCCAGTGCCTGGTACACCTAACTGTATGCTGTTTTTTGGATATTGGTGTTAGACGAGCTGTACTCTCGTGTGGTTGCTTATCAGGCTGTGTCTGTTTTGTGGGAGCAGGCTTTATGATGTAGACTTCTGTCGTCCTTGTGTGCAGCAAGTGTGTCAGATTTTAAATTCCCCACTGTTTGAAGAGGAGGTTTATGAGCATCATATATTAGATTCTGTAATTACCTAGATGTAGTTATAGGATGAGAGCTATGCTCCTGTCAAATATTACCTATTTCCTCTGCTGATTCTACCTCAGCCATGGCCTGGTCAGTTTAGCCAGCTTCCCTTGCCACTTATGCCTCAGCCAGGGCCCAGTGTTATTTGTGGTAATTATTTGGGAGTGTGTGAGAGGAGCTAGCCCTCAGTCCACCATAACCAATACTATGAATGATGCCTGCTTTAACTCTTGTAACTTGCTTGGAACAATTTACTTTGTTTTCACATCATGTGCTTTGTATATCTTCTACATTTTTATTTTTATTTTGTATCTGTATTTTTTATTTGTATTTGTGGAGCCAAACATTTGATTGGTAAATGGGAAGATGCAGCTGACTGGCTGACTTGCACAGTGGCATGCCTCAGCTTATTACATTATATATTTTGTACTTCTACTTAGAATGTTATTATTACTGGAGGTAGTGTATTGCTTTTGGCAACAGATACTGTATTTTATTATGCTAAGTATTTTTTAATGAAAAATGAAGTGCATTGTATGGATTTGAAACTTTTAGAAAGTGTTAAAATCATTGGAGCAAGACTGAATTGAACCAGCAATCTGGTAAACACCAGACAAGTGCCACACCTTTAGGAATGTCGTGGCTTAGGGAGCTAAGGAGGAATGTCGTATGCACCTGATGTTTACCAGGCAGGTACCAATCCCTGTCCTGATCATGTCACTGTGATTACCTTGTGCTTAAGAAAGTGCAGTATGTATGCATTTTTGTCATCCATCACCCCTACACACATTCTTATCTTTAAGAATGGACTAAAAAATTATACCCTTACACAAACACAGAATATACTAACCTTTTTTATACACTGTGCTGAAAGAGTTTGGTTACTAAAAAAAAAAAAATACTGGTTTTGTATCAAGATTATATTCATAAATCACAAACTATATTTCCATAACCTAAAACTCTCCCAAACCAAAGCTTAAATATGTACTGTAGAGCTCCTTACCTATATGATTTTGCCCATTTAAATTTGCACCTTCATGGTGTGTGAGTGTGCGGTGCTTGCTACTACTAAATATCTCCTCTTCGTCACTATCTTCCATGGGTTCATCATCTTCTTCCTCATCCTCATCCTCCTCTTCGTCCTCTTCCTCCATCACATTCAACCCATCTTCAACTTCCTCCTCCTCTTCCAACCCTACTCCATCAGTCTCTGCTTCATCTTGGAGAAGCAGAGTGTAGTGATTGTTGCTTCCTGAAAAAAAAAGTCCTATATTTTTCCACAAACAATACTTAAAAGATTTATTCAAATGCTTCATTAGATATGATTGGCAAATTTACATTTCAGACGACTGATTGGTCCATTGAAATATATCAGAACTTTAAGTACTGTACTGTATAAAATTCCTTAAAAAAGTACAGTATGTTTATTTTTGTATATGATATTCTGTACACTGGGAACATATTGATCTTAATACCAAGTTACTTTGCCCACTTTTTTATATTATATGACTAAAATTTATGTTTTAAATATTCACAAAATACGGTATTGTTAATGATAACGAACCAAAACATCGTCGTCTCTTCAATTTCTAGTGTGTGGTTTGGGCAACATATATTATCATATATATATATAAATAAAATGTATGTATGTTGGCCAAACCACACACTAGAAATTGAAGAGACGACGATGTTTTGGTTCATCCTGGACCATTATCAAGTCGATTGTGATGAGATGAGGGAGGCAAGGGCATTAAGTAAGGCAAGAGAGGTGAGGAAACAAATCTTAGAGGAAGATAAGAGCAAGGCAAAAGGTACGGGAATGCAAGGTGTAATACGGGTAAGAATGGGAGGCAACTATCGGGGAAAAGCACCAAGCCATGACAACTATATAGCACTGGGAAGGGGTCAGGATAAAGATTTGGGATGGGACGGGGGAGGGAAGGAATGGTGACCAGGAACGTGAAAGAAACAAGAGAAAGAAAAAGAAAAAAGAAAGAAAAAATGAAAAGTAGGCTCATGTTAGGTCACGTTTGTTAGAAAGTTTAGAATATTTGAGTATATACTGTGAAAGGGAAGAGTCAACAGCAACAAAGCCAGGACTAAGGTTCATGTTGAGTAGGTTGTGCATCAGAGCCGATTTGACAAGACGGTGTCTGTGTAGAGTAGAGGCAGACATAGGTTTCTATAGACCACTGTTCCTCGTGCCTCTCTGAGGGGGGCCAGGTTCTGGCTCATGGTCCCCGGTAGGCCTAGAACTCCATGCGCATTGACTAGTGCCAGGGTCTAATACATTCATATCAGCCTGGTTAGCTCTGGGAAAGCCGAAGAGGATTCCCCCAGAAAATCTAAATTTAATTATAATTAAAGTAACTAATTGTGGTACAGTAGTATACAGTACTTAAATTTAAACGTACCTTTATTCATCTGTAGATAACCCTCATAAAAACAGCAAAGGTATCTGGAACACAAAGTATGAAATACAAGTTATCTATACATAAAACTGTTGTATCGGTATACAGTTCACCCCAAAAACAATGCTGAATTGTCTGTCTAGTTTTACCACAGTGAAACTTATCAAGTGTAACTCTCAGAAATTCATGTACTGTATAATGATAATGTAGGTGGAACATTTTCATCTTTATTTAAAGCATTTAGAAGAGGTGCATCAAAATTGCATTAATGTTCTATAACACAGTATTCTAAACATGATAGCAATGATTCAGGGGCAGCAATACAGTATAAAATAAAGCTTTTTTGGCCTTAATTCTTGCTATCTGGACCTAAGCTGCACATCTTGACTGATGGTTTTTCCTTATTAAGTGGTTGTTTAAGTGCTGAACCTGCCTCCTGAGTTGGCTCTGTGGTGGCTCTAAATTTTCTGTGTCCTGGTGTGTGATTGTGGTTGTGTCCTGGTGTGTGATTGTGGTTGTGTCCTGGTGTGTGATTGTGGTTGCAGTGCTGACTGAGGTAGTTATTGTGTAATTTCTGAGGTCATTATGGTGTTTGACATGGTTGATGTAATAGCTGAAGTTATATTCTTTTGTAGTTGTGCTGGCTGAGGTTGCAGTGTGATTTTGGTTGTAGTGGTGGCTGTATTTATATGGTTGCCAAAGTTGGTCCTTCCAGGGTCAGTTACTGACCTTTCCCAGGATGCAACACACAACTCATAGGTACCAATTTACTGCTAGGAGAGCAGAGGCATCAAATAAAAGGAAATGCTGCCCAAATGGTGGTCTTGGTATGGGAATTGGAACTCGGAACCTTTCAACTATGACACAATATGTTTGTAATGGTGATGGGTCATAAATTTGCATATACAAGCAAGTTGTCTTCTCATCTTATGGTCTTCATGGTTTAGTCTTCATATCTTCAGCCACGATTTTGTGACTCATCGTCTACATACAAGCAAATAATGAAGGGGTGCATTACTTGGATGTAATATACTGTACTGTAATAGGATGGCATAACTATCATTAAAGGGCAGTGATAATTGTTTTTGAGGCAATATTGTATACAAACTGTATACTGTATTGTGAATATACTGTATCCATAATCACGAAGTTAGGGTTCATTATTCCAATATGGTCTATTTCCAAAATGACATGGAACACTGACACACAATATTGTATCATAGAACTAGGCTATATGAAATTTCAAACCTCTAACTGCGTTATTTTCAACTGTAATTTGATCTCGATTAGTTTTGTCTCAGTTTCTAGTTTATTTTTTCCACGTCATGTCCAAAATGCTGTGCGTATGGCTTTAGGCATAGTATATAGCTCTTTGTATACATAGCTCTATCTAGAAATCCAATATTTTGCTTATTACTCATTTTGTATGTATGTATTTTCCCCTAATTAAGCATTATTATTATTGCATGATAATGCAATGGTAATTCGACTAGGGTCCAGGTAGTACAGTCTGGTACGTTCTCGACACACAATCGCGAATTCCGGGTTAGAATCCCAGGCGGGACAGAAATGATTGGGCACATTTCCTTTCACCTAATGAATCTGTATACCTAGAATCACATATGTACTTAGGAGTTAGTCAGCTTGTTGTGGGGTTGCATCCTGGGCGAGATCAGTAATTCGACTTTGGGGGTGGGGGGGACCTCGATACAAGTCTAACGTGTATGAATACACTCTGGCTTCCTGTCCCCCGACAGTGAATTTTTAGTATAACTTTATAGGCCTAGCCAAATTTAATATCAGTATTTATACATTTTCTAATTAGGTTGAATTGGTAATAAAAACTAGAGAATACATGCACATGCAGCTGCTTTAGCTGTCAACAGTGCAATCCTTAGCTGCTATATGAATAACATGTTAATTGTTAAAGTCTGATTAGCTGAAAACCTCAGTACACCGGTACCTGGCGAGCACCAAAATGCTTAGTATTGATTCCCCTAGAGCACAAAGTTAATCTTAAGATGTAGTGTTCATTTATTTGCTACCGAATTTTAAAATCAATCTTGACATTTATTAATTTACAAGTTAACGTTTTATTTTCATTATCCAGAGTAAAATAGAGCTGAAGAGAGCATCTTACCACCAAGTCATCGTCGGCGACTGGCGTCTCGGCTTTGTTTACGTCTCGCTATTACAGAAAACTTGGCCCGGTCTACTAGTGAGGTAAACTATAAAATTATTATTGAGGGCAATACTGAAGTACAGTTTATTACATATTGTATTGCTTTTTGGGGTTGAACTTTAGCACTTTAAACTTATATCTCAAATTTCAATCAATTGGTGCCATTTTCTTTTTCTTTCTTGGTTTCTTGGCCATTTTCTTGGTTTCTGAGCCATTAGGGCCCGGCTCTGAAATATCTATTTTTGAAGACGTATATGGACCCTGGCTTTGCCACTTCATATTTGAGTGCGTACCATTTGTTCACTCTGACATTGAGGTTCAGTTCCTGTACTTAATATGTGCCTCTGTAACCTTTTCTACTACCATCCATAGGATGGCTATGGGATGCGCAATAAATGCACTAGACTAAACATTGGTTAATTTATTTAGTATTTCTAAGGTTAGTCCTACATTTGTCATTGCTTGCTCATGTATCACCCATTCGAAATTGCCTGTTACCGAATACTGCTACCGGGAATGTGTTTCAGGGCAGACACAGCAACAGCAGAGAACGTTTCAGACCTGAGAAGGTTGATAAATGATGCGGCTAAACTCTTAAAATGGGGAATTTTACCTATAAAACAATTGAATGAATCTGACATCATAATTGAAAAGAGAAAAATGTTTTGAAGCAGAGGAAGATAATGTATTAAGGGATATGCCAAAATGTGCGAAACAATCAGGAAGTGCTTTGATAAAGAAATTTGAAGCTCCAGGTTGGGTGGAATTCAATCCAAAATCAAAGGAACAGGCCAATGAACTATGTCTACCACTGAAACTCCAATCCAGGAAATCTCTACACCATGGGAAAGTTCACATAGCTTGGAAATATGCAATTGTCACTCCATCTAAAAATTTTTTTTTTGCCCCGAGGGGCGAGTTTTATTGGGCAGCGCCACTCATCTTGTGAATGGACACATCGCCATAGCAGCATGTACAACACTCCTCAATAGGAAGAAAACCCGCTGGGTTGTTCATCCTGTCACTTGTACCCAGACACAGCTGGGACTTGCACCTGAGGTGGTACCCCGTTTAGGTATAAATATATATATATATATATATATATATATATATATATATATATCCAGCATACATGTATATTAATGTACAATAAATATATTAAATAATTTTCGTCTATTTATATAACACACAGGTGATATTTCCTCTTTGAGTTATATAATTAAATTAACAAAAATGAAGCAGTGACCAATACGATCAAAATGCATCCGGAGTATGCCAGTGCAGACAGCCTATCACATGCCTCTGTATGACTGACCATCCTGTGTGATGGGGATTTATTAACATCACGTAGTTAGCATTTTTGACACACTGTACTCCCCTTCATATAGTCTCGGTTAGCTGCACAAATGCAGATGTAACTCATGTATTAACAAAAAAAAACTACGATCGATGTAGCTGTCAAGTTAGCAGATCTAAGTACATATTTATTATAAACCTGCATCTTATGAAAGGAAGGCAATTTAATTTCGTATGAGCTTGATGCGTAAGTTATAATTCCTGACTCAATCTACCAAATCGATTTGTAGTTTATAAGACTCGTGGAAGAAAAAATAGGACGCCACAAAGGAGGAGGATCAGCACCTGTGTTGAGCGCTGCAGCAGATCTGACGACGATCCAACACTCCGCAACGTCTGTCCGCATTTCTCTTTTGTTGGTTGTTGTTTACTTGCTGCCTTGTCTCGACTTGGGTGCGGGAGTAAGCATGTTAATATGCCGGCAGAACTCTCACTTGTATTATCTTAGTAGCACTGCAGCTTTCTTTTCTGGCCAAGAACGTTTATTTTGGGAAGTTTATCGTGTAATTTAGTTTTGTTTTGTAGGCTAAATATATCAGTGAGTAATCAGATATTTAATATTTTACTTTAAATAATTCGACTGTTTAAAATAAATTTCATAATAGAAATGCAAATCATTACGGTTTTATTTTTTAATTATGTAAATAATATTTTTCATTATATCCCTCCTTTCTATTATTGTTATTATTACTTAGTATAACGATAATTTGTATATAATATTACTAAATAAAAATAATATAATAATAATGCACAAAGAAATCACTTTATCATGAATCAATGAGAAAATCAAAACCATTTTTGGGATTTGAACCAAAAACATGGGTACTCCCAAGAGCACGCCTTGAACCACGCCTTATTATTATTATTTATTATTATTATTATTATTATTATTATTATTATTATTATTATAACCATAGGTATGGGTGGGGGGGGGGGGGTCCCCCTCTGCAGCTCCCATAACTCGCTGCGTCGCCGAAAAAAAACACACAAAAAAAAACAGGGTAAACATAGAAAACAGGAAATACAAAAAGTGAAAAATGAAAATTGACGGTTTCATTTTGAGTTTGGAAGCGCGGGCTGGAAATGAGCCCATGTATTAGCTGTTTTTCTCGTCCTGGGAATAATGCTTCAGGTTTATCTACTAATGAAGATTTGGACTTTTCATTGAGTTTTATTTAAATTTAGGTTATTGTGTTTTTTGCATTTGCATATTCATGGTGTTTCTTTTACAAATCTAGTTTATACCTTTGTATAAATAATTTTAGATATATTTCACCATATGTATATTATTGTTATTTGTTTTACATTAAGTATTACTTTTGCTGATGTTCGGTGAAACGAACCGTAAAATATGGATAAAAACTGCGGTCACTGGACAAATAATATTAAGCCGAATTACACGTTATAATAAAATATTTGGCTAAATGAAGAAAAAATCAATAACAAATTTTCAGATGCATTGACAACCGTTCTCAGAGCCCCCAGACCTCGAACACCCACACGTACCTGTATGGTCACTCGTCTCATTCAAGGGTCTGTTTTTATTGTTTACCTTCTTTCTTGGAATGAGGTGAAAATGCTTCACCTGCTGTGGAGGGACCAGCAAGGCCTGTGAGTTTGTCTGTAAGTCAGCAAGCCTGTGAGTTTGTAAGTCAACAAGCCTGCAAGATTGTAAGTCAGCAAGCGTGCGAGATTGTCTGTAAGTCAGCAAGCCTGCGAGATTGTTGGGTTACCGAGTCAGAGTACCGAGGAGGGTATTTAACTTTGTCACCTAGTGTATCAGTAGTCATAGTTTACATACAAGAAATACACATTAGATCTTAAAGCGTATTTTCAACAAAATATAGCCTAGGAAGGTAGCCTACTTTTATTATTTTCACTCGTACAAAAACAAAGTTCGCTGATCTGCATCAGTCATTTAACAAACAGGAGTATGTTTACCAAGTGATGTATTACGCTATTTTGTGGGTGGAAATAACACTTATATGTTTAACCTGGACGTTCGTGTCTGTTGTGTAGAGTTTGTTTCTGTATTTACAAGGGAGACTCTAAGGAGGAGCCATGTTCATTATATTAAAGTTACCGTTTTCGTTCAGATAGGCGATTTAATTGGTTGAGGAACTGTGTGCGTGTGTGTGTGCATGTTTGGTTGCCTGTATATGTGCGTTTATGTGTGCGAGCGCGCGCGCGTGTGTGTGTGTGTAAGTTCATTTATGTGTGTATACATCATGTTACATATCTTACCGTAACTAATGACACCAGTTCATTGTAAATTAATGAATAATTCTCCCGATGTGGTTAGATTGTTGTCGATCTAATTAATTTGAGACACATGATATTTTTTTGTTCTTCGCAATAATGTTATTACGGTTTTCTGCTCATATTTTATTACGATTTCTCGTAATAAAATTACGACAGGAAGCTTATTACGATTTCTCGTAATAAAATTGTTCTTATTTGTTTTTATTTTCTGATCCGACGTAGACTCTTCTGCTTTAGTTGGTTGCTAACACACTTTATTTTAGTTTGACTACTTAAGTTGACTCAGGTGTTGCTCTATCAAGTTGTAATTGTATTTTTATTAGTATTAGGGCTAAGAGGGTCGGATTAAGTAAGTGTTTCCCCAAGAGGATCAGGAGACGTGGGTTCAGGTCTCTTGGTGTTGAAGGTTGCTGCGGCTCTTGTTGCAACCCGCTCTCGCACAAGACAGCACATATAGGACTTATTGCTTATAGTAACTATTTTGCTTATAAATAAGTACATATGTGACATATTCCCATTGTGCACACGCCACGAGGTGTTGATGATTAGAGGTGATCAAGTACCTTTATGTCTTGTGGCTTTTGGCGGGTTACATAATTAGATTGCGTTTATTAGCATTTATCCCAGTGTCAAGGACAGGAAGCCTATTATTCTTATCGAAGTTCCCTCTCCTTGGCCACTGTCCAAGAGGTTGCGCACCATTCCTTCCCTCGTCCCATCTCAAATCCTTATCCTGACCTCTTTCAAGTGTTATATAGTCGTAATGGCTTGGCGCTTTCCCTTGATAATTCCCTCCCTCTCTCCTTAGCCAACGGGTGACCTTTCTCAGGATGCAACTCACAACACTAATTAGCTATTTACTGCTAAGTGAATAGTAGCATCAGATGTAAGGAAACGTGCCCAGACGTCTCGCCCTGCTCGAGACTCAGACTCGAGTCCAGTTGACTGGGAGCCGACTGCCCTGTCTACTGCACTATCGGTACAATAGACAGGGCAGTCTATATGCACCAACGTATTGTACGTGACACCAGGGCAGTCACGTGCAACACGGGAAGCGGTTGCTAATAGAAGAGAATGAATTAAAATATTCTCCATGAAAGACATTACTGTTATTAGTTAAGATTTGAGCCTTTTTCACAGTGTATACATCACAGGAGTGGACATCAAGCGGCAATATCAGAGTGAAATAAAATCACTAAGAAAACTAAAAACTAAAATCATAAGAAAACTATTTTCTAAATTAAAAACCAAACTTTACTTGCAAACAATTGAGCGATAGAAATGTAAAGAAAAACACGTAAATATAATTGTTTTAGAACATTTTGCATGGCAAGTAATGGCTACACAAGCCTGGCGCACCCGCCTCTGGCCAGCAGGTGGCGGGCGATCACACCA